CGGACTTGGCTTCGTCCTCACTACCAGAGTCGAACTCACGTTCAGCGAACCGAGGGTTCGGACGATTGTCGGGAGAGGCCGAGGGCGACGGGCTGCTGCGCTTGCTTGCTCGCTTTCCCACAGCCGCGTCACCCGATGAGCCGGTTGCCTTGGAGGCCACCTGAGTAGCCTCCTGAAGTGCCGAGCCTTTGCCGTGAGGCGTAGTGCTCTTGGCTTGCGCCTTTCCGACAGCAGCCTTGGAGCGTGTCTTCGCACCGCTCTTCGCAGTACCACTAGGCATGACAAACGGTCGAAGTGGAGACCCAGAAGAGGAGCGCACCGACTGCTGCTCGAGGCACTAACTGTGAAGTGAGCCTCCGCCGCGCTCGCGCGGCCAAGTCGATGTTTTTTCGACTTTGAGAATGAAAGTTTGTGACGAGCACCTCTTCATTCTGATTGGTCGGTAAACCGAACCTAAGTGGGGAAGGATGTAACGGGGTACGTGGCCCTAAGTGTACCCCTAGCTACATGAAGTGTGACACGTCATACTTCGGGATATTTGGTACAAGGTACCAAGGTCGTCCAAAGCCAGCCATTGGCTTATGACATTGCTTTTCTATAGGTGACTTATAGTTTGTATTTAACCCAAGCTTTACCTACCTATAAATATACTCAGTTTACATTCTACCTTAACTAGGTCACTTCGCTCCCTTTTGATAAAAGGGGACCTGTGAGATGCCATTCACTGAGAGCTTGTATACCCTCGGAAGCTAACTTCCTCTAGCGCAAGGTGCTGTGTGAACCCGTCACAAGTGGGCAGGAAATGATTCCGAGATAGGAATGAATTCCCACACCCGTGGGTGTGGGGATTAAAACAAGATAGTTTTTTAAATCGGCATTTGATAGAGGAGGATCTTCGATGTCCATGCAAGACGAACATATCGTGATGGCGATTGTGGAGTTGATTGTCGCCGTCGCCTTCGCTGCAATAGCCTCCCTGAGCTTGAGAGAGAAGGCAAAGAACCAGCTAACGATGACAAAGCTGGTTTTTGATGCTATGCTAGTGTCTCCTCGCTTAAATGGCTGGGTTTGTGCTAACTTACGGTGTTCTCAGCAAAGTTTTAAGACAATTTGCCTCCTCTTCCGGCCATCACGAGCCCCACGCTTTTACGCGGGTCTCTACATTTCTACGTGAAATAAATGGCGCTGACAATGTATTATCTTGCATCATCGGGTAGTATGTTAGAGGCTATTAATGCAATGGGAATATCAAAACCGTGCGCAGTGAAGACTATCAATGAAATGTTACGAATTGTATGTTCTCGTTGGGTGATCCCACATCAAGCTGCCGGGATCGGAATGCGAGTGGGAGAGGGTTATGAAGGGTTTCGCGGCTCTTAAGGGGGTTATATTTTGTATGCGGGGCTGTAGACAGCTCGCCCTTCGATATTTAGCGGCCGGCCATGTATGAAGGCTGGTATTGCAAGGATTGTTATCATGCAATCAACATGCAGGCCGTTTGCGGGTCGAGGCGGTGCTTCATATACTACGTCATGCGTCCGGGCTCGTACAGTGGCAAGAAAACGTGGGGCGTGTCGAAATTAGGTTTGTCGGCTGCAAACGTACTTCCTGTAGGCTGCCATTTATAGCTGACGCCGGATACAAACTACTTCCGGAAGTTATGACTACATATCTACCTCGCGCAGAGCATGGAAAGCTGGCGCGTAAATATGAGCGGTATAATTACGTGCTGATCGCCACGCGAATGGCCATCGAGTGTGCTTTTGGAATGTTTAAGCAACGCTTTCGCTTAATTCGAAGGCAACTGGAGAAAAACGTATTAGCAGCTGCACCCAATGTATTTTGGCCGCTATGATTTTGCACAATAGTTTGATTGACCTGGCCTATGAAACTGTGGATTTAAACGAGAGAGATATTCAAAGCCTTATCGTATACGAGGAGGATGTAAGTGGAGAAACACGAAAGATTAGTAGGGCCAAACGCGACGACCTCACCCATTTATTTTCTCTTTAAAACAGAAAATCATGAGGTCCCACGGGTATGCGCCTCGATTAGTGCGTTAATCGCTGACGTTTGCAGGTGAAGCGCATCCTCTTGACGGTATAGTGCTACAATGATATCTCGTGAAAGCAAATCATCGTCAGATGCAGAAGTTCTACTTTTCACGCCTTCAGCTAAAGCACATATACCTAATCTCAAAAACAAAATAAAACACAATATTAGTTTGTCAATGCTTCGCCGCTTTCGACATTTTACCATAGTAGCAAGTACCTGCTTCAACATATTCGCCGTTAGCTGTCACGGAGCAGCAACTTTTCCATGAGGTTTAGCTGCGTACACGCGTCTCCTGTTAGCTTACTTCTCTCTTTGTGTGGTTTTAACAAATTGCTACCTGGTGGGAAAACAGCGGCCACAACCGTTATCAATCTGACGAGGGTATGCAGCAAACCGTGAGTACACGGAAAACGACCTACGACTTAAGTGCTCAGGGGTAGGGGGATGTTTATATTGCGAGACCCCAGACTCCGCGGCAGGAACCAGGGCCTTATATGCTTTCAAAAAGGCAGGCGTTATTGTGACCGACTGGAAGGTACGAAGACGAATCATTTGTGACCGACGACGTGTCCGATTGTGCCCGACGAAGAAATTCACCCCTTCTTGTATAGGCTGTATAATCCGGATACGAGCACTTAGTCTTTTGAGAGCGAAAGCATCCTCAAAAGCTAAGTCATCCTCAAGGCCAAGGTTAACCTCATGAACGAATACGGCCTTTCTGTTATGTTTCCAATGCAATGTGTTTGACAGCAACTATATAATTGAAGTTAAACAAAGTATATTGCTTTACATGCACATCTGTAAGTAGCGATAACGCTGGTACTGCAGTGCCTTCTTACGCAATTTACATGTGCTTTCTCCACTGCAGAACGTTTCGAATGCAAGCAGAACGTACACTCCACAGCGGTAGCTATCTAGTTGAACTCCAGCATCCGCAACATAGGGATCCACTCTGTAACGTCCTGGTGTAGTTGGCATGGGTTGCACAAGTTTGTGCGTTAGTGTTCTCATGGCGCCAGTTTAACTGCTGCTCATGGAATCATAGTACTTGATAGCTGTCTTAGCTGAGTCGATCATGATACTGCACCAGTGCGTGCCGTTGCAGCTCACCGGAAGCAGTATCATTCGTTTAGCAATAGAACTGAACAAGCTTTTTAGCTCTTCGTCTGGAATGCTCACATTTCCTCTCTCCACGACACCCCAGCTCGCTAGGCCAACAGTCATGACTTCCTCTTGTTGACCGAATAGCTTTATCATTGCCTCTGTCAACGCAGTGTCACTAAGTAGTGCTCTGCTTGCAAAGTCAACGATCCGAATCTACAAAATATGCATACACAGTGTCAGTTGCTGCTATCCTTAGAATATGCAAAGTGCTTACCCTTTCAGAGAAGATTGGAATTGCTTCAAGTTTTGACGCCAAATCTGCATCATGTTTGACCCGGAATACAGGCGAAATATCCAGGGAGAAATCAATTTCGGAGATCCCTCTCTCGATATTGTTAAGCTCTTTGACTGCTTGGTGCCATAGCTTCATGATTCTCAGTGTCTGTATCCCGATAGCAAATAGACTAGGAAAATCCTATGCAAAGTCTAGCTCTGGCAATTTCTTGTGCTTCTTTTGTAGGGTAACCACCTATTTGCTCGCTCGCTGGAGTATCTCTTTAGTCAAAGTACGAGAAATGTCTGTTGAATCCATGATAACTTTGTTAACCGGCAGCTGCGAAATCACGTAGGGCATTGGGGACTTCATCTTCTTATCAATAACAAATAGCAGAAATCGGCATAGCGGCTCCGCACATGATGCGTAGGTAGGATCGTGTGAAAGGAGGACCTGAATTGTTTTGAGACTCATGCCTTGGTCGTGAAGAATCGAATCGTCTTGTGCCATTAAAACGGACACATTCCTCTTCACTCTCTTAGTATTTGCCTTCTGTTTTGGGCGGCCTCGTGGGCGTAAGGGACTTGCTATCGTGATTCCGCATTAATTGGCTCGGGTTCAAGAGCTTGAGTCAGTTGCACCACCGAGTGATCCACCGACCGAGGCACCGACTCCACCGACCGAGGCACCGACTCCACCGACTGAGACATCCACTGAGGTACCGACTGAGACACCGACTCCACCGATTGGGCCACTGACGGAGGCACCAAGCCCATAGACGACAGCTCCTTGATCAATTCAAACTTTTTCTGTAAACATTGTTAGTACCTGCGCTAGCACCTGAATTGCCACCCGATATTCCGCCATTCCCAACGTGCTTACAGCTTCCGTTATAGCGGTAGCAACATTATTAGCTTGACAAATTTGCGGTTAGAATCACACGGAAGCTTTGGAAGCTATGCAATCCGAGTCACGTAACAGCTATTCCTTTCGGTCCATAATAGAGGGCGTGCTTCATTCATCGAAGCCAACAGCCAACGTAGATGGATACACTCAGTCGATATAATTGGCTCCAATTTGCGTTGCTGCTGTAAGTAAAAAAACATGTCTGCATGGCAATAGCCGCGTACTCGCAAATCGACATGAACACTCCCACGTTGACTTGGTATTTGTGTAATCTGCTCGTGGTTCGTCCCGACTTCCTTCTGCATCATTTTCATTCTTGATAAGGATCTCTCCTGGCATTGCCTCGTAAAATGAATAGAAAGCCGGTTCAGTCACGTACACGTACTGCTCATGAATTAACTCGCATACGTGCTTGCTAACCAAGTTTGCCACGACATTCATCTCTTTATCATATCCATCGTGATGGACTTGAGATTGTTTTTTTAAATATGTTGAGGTGTATTGTGCTACCGGCTCCTTTCGTTGCCTAAACTCTAATACCCATTCCCGTCATGCTTTTACCGCTCTGCAGAGCTGCTAACTTGTCATCTTAGCTCCCCTAAGTTGACGTTCACCCCTTTCTCTCCCGCTTCGTCTACTCCACTGAATTCCTGTCAGTGGTTTACCCCTGTCCTCCCCAATGGCTCACGTCGCTCTCGACATGTGCCGTGATTCCTTTCAGCAAAGGGTGTTGCTTGTCCTCTTCCAACCGTGCGTAAGCCATGCTGCGACCTCTATCCAGCGAAATTCGCCAACCAGTCAGCAGCTTTGTTGTAACTTCTGTAATGATGTGTCCACGATTGCACCATTGACTTGTCTGCTAATCTACGTGTGAGTCTGTACCATTGTCGCATTTGAGCTTGCCGCGGCTCCCTCCTTTCTCTCATGAGCACGATGAACATGGCACTGTCGCCCACAAAATGCAGCTGTGTCCAACGTTTTTCTTCCGCTCTTGCCAGTAGTTTGTGCAAACGTACAAACTCCGCCACGTTGTTGTGGTTGCCTCATTGCACAGGTGTGTGGCTGCAGCCCATACTATCTTGGCCAGCCCAACGTCCGTGGCCCGTTCTACGATGAGACTCCCACTCCCTCCGGCTCCTGGATTTCCACGCGAGCCCCCGTTAAAATACCCAATTCTCGCTGTCTGTTCCGCTTCTGTGTAATCCGGTCCGGCAACTGGTTGTCCCCAATGTCGAGCAATTTCGAGCGCTACCTGCATCTTCACACTGTTACTTGGGGTCAACGGGTACAGTCCCAGCCTGTACATCGCGAAGGCTTCGCGTACCGCACCACTCACTCCTCTCACTATGTCGGTTACCATTTGCACCAACCCTTCGTGGCCGTGTACCTGACTTGTCGTCCATATTCAGGCGTGTGATAGTACTGTCGCGCATCCTATCGCCCACATTTCTGCCGCCACACTGTGTAAGCCCCCCCCCAAATGCCATCTGCTTGCGTCATGACCCACTCGTATAACCACTTTGGTACTTGGCTCATCCTGAAACTGAGTACATCTTCTAGTGAGGTCGCGGTGTCTGCAGCTGTCTATTGTGTCGATCGTGCAGCGTGCCATCCTTTGCACCATTCCGTTCAAATCTCCTGCGACTCCGGGCAGCTCCATATGGACGTGAGAAATCCTAGTTGCACGGTTTTACAGAATTTTTTCAGATCGAGTCTGATAGAAGATGATTGAAGTCAAACACTCATCTAAGACCATTGAAGAGTTTACAGTCTCCTTTATGTGCTTCCAGGACGCCTCCAGTCTCTTGTTGCTGGTGTTGTTGCCCAATGTGACATACTGTACCGATCCGTAACCGACTGTGACCGACAGTGTCAGACTACAGCCGACTCTGACAGACAGTCAACGTTTCGCATCGCACCTGGGCCTTGCACTCGATCGAGCATACTTCCTGACGTGGTTTTTTCCCTTTGCCACGGTATCTGTACTTGCCGCCAAGCGTGCAAATGAGCTTCTTTGCGTACGTACACCATCTCTCTGGGATGAGATTTGAAGACGGCTTCTGGGCCTTCTGGATTAGCTTGTTCCGTTCTGTCACGCTTTTAGTTGATCGCACTCTAAAAACCTACAGTAAATTGCTCAAACCCGTTAAATACCCTCAAAATGTCATATATAGTGTCATCAATGCCCTTACCTGGTAAGTCTGCTTCTTGTACTCGTCCAGATACGAGTGAAAGGCTTCCCAGGTACTGAAACTGCGTTTCAACCAATTCTGCACAGACTTCTGTGCATCCAATCTCCGCTTGTATCTTCACTTGTTCTCTCGTCAGGCGTATCACTTACGCTTGAATCCTCAACACTCCACGTCGCCGCACTGGAACTACTGGATACGGTGGAGTCGTCCTCCCAGCTCGTGTCCGAGCCTCCATTCTCACTACCGTCGCTGTAGGCTTCCTCTGAGGGTCGCTTCTTCGACGCGCGCACAGGCTGGCGCCGATCCATTGCTGTCGCTGTTAATCTGCACATGAAGTGCCCCATAAATGAGTTGCGCGAAAGCTCCGTATACGGTTATACAAATATAACTGTACGAGAGACTCACAATTCCCTCGACAATTAATGTTTTGCATCTTTGACTGGCACAAAAAACGACTCTCTTCCAAAAACGTATTCTCCAGCTGTTGACCCATCGAATTGTATAGTACACCATTTTTGAATCAAGTTGGCCAATTTTGCAGAGCAAGTGAATGTGTTAGTTTATGCACAAAATTAAAGCATCAGAAGAAGAGTCATTTCTCACAAAGTGAAAATTCCAATAGTCGACATTACGATCAAGTGAATATGGCTACAGCTCGCTGAAACCTCTACTTGCCTAGCTCCATGTCCTCTCCTCTTGAAGCCACAAAGGAGGCCTTAAGACAATGATGCTCCATACGCCAGGCCAACCGACGCGTAATAAACGGCTTCACCACCTCCACAGCTTCTTCCATCAGCGCCTGGCGGTGAGCGCAGAATGTGTCGTACTCGCCTCTTACTAGAAATTCCTCCTTACGCTTGGCAATAAATCGCCGCATCTTTGCCTTGAGCACATTCCAGCAACCCTCAATTGGGTTGAGCATGGGGCTGTAAGGTGCTTGACGCAGCACGACCAGCTTGGAGCTGTTCATGATACCGTCCCCCGTCAGAATCTCTCTCGCAAGCGTATCGACCTAACTGGGGGACGGCGCATTGTCCGTAACAATAACTTTCTTGTTGGACGGTGCCAGCTCACGGTACTCGTCCGTTGCCAACGCTGCCGCAAAGAGGTCAGCGACGAAGCGCGCATTCTCCTGTTTCTTCACAGATCCAGAGTGTGTTTGCATGAGTACGATACCGGTGCCAGACGAAACACCACCTTGCACATGTAAGTTGGCTTCTTTAGAGGATGCCAACGCCACTGTAGCACGCTCTCCAACCCGCGAGTAGCCCTCACTTCGCGACAGATACATGTTGATCTTTGTAATGTCCTGAAACACGATCATGTCACCCTCAGACGTGTGTTACTCCAACTTGTCCACAAATGCTTTGCGCTTCATCTTGTCCTCCGCATTATTCATCGTAATCCTCTCGATCAGCAGCTTGTTTAAGCTGTAGACCGTGCCCTGGAGGGCTCGGTGCACGGAAGACGTGCTTACGGACACGCCCATATCGCTCAGCAACCTGTCGCGCATCTGCTCACAGGTGTGGCGGTAATCCTCGTCGAGATATACCTCCAGCTGGGCCATGACTGGAGCAGTCATTTTAACGCGAACGTCGCGAACTCCTCCGTGAGCTCCGGGCTCAGTGTCAGCGTTAAGAACGGTGTGACGAGCGGTGCTGTACGGAACGTCATTGTGCTTGGCGATATCCTGCCAATTCGCGCTATCCTTGAAGGCACGCACGACACGTGCCTTGGCAGCAATGCGCTCGTGTTGGCGCTGTTTTCTCGTGGGAGTGGGAGTTAAGGGTATGCTATAGAAACAGCGCAGAAATGAAAGTGACAAGCAAGATGAGGCTAATGCTCAGCACAGTATGGTTGGTGTTCCGTGGGAGAAAACTGGCGCCAGAACGGTTGGCCATTCTTCACTTGATTGGGAGCCGCAACGCGCCAATTTCCACTTTGTGGGAAATGCACTTTTTCTTAAATAAAACTTATTTTAGGTTTTTCTCTTAAAAACCTCATAGCTCAGTTGCTTTGAGAAAGTGGCCAACTTGATTTGGAAATGGTGTACATGTACTATCCATGATCATGGTTCGGGTGTCGTAATACTGCCGTGTGGGCGGGAGTCACAACACCGGTACAGTACACTAAACAATCAGACTAATCAGACTATTAATAGCCACCTGTGATTCTCGCCTCCAGTATTATTCAAAGAATATTGTGTAACAAAGGTCGTGAGTTCGATTACCGTATGATGTTTTTAAATATTTTATCAGCTCTTTTCTCTTGATAGCTTTATTCATTTTTCTTAAGACATGCTTTGCAGCGATACTTCGTTCAACGAATCGTTGAGGTTCGTCGTTTGCAGGACAGGAATTACATTAACTCTTTGATTTTTACTTGTACGTCGAGCTTGAAAGGTAAACCTCAGTGAACTTACCTCACATCGTGTCTATCTTGTATGTGCGGCCTGCAACTTACAGTGCAAGTGAAACAACAAACTTCCCGACTTGATCTCCTTCCAACTCGTTTCTTTGGCAATGCGGTTTCACTGTTAGATGTATTATATTAATATACAAGTACTTCGGAGTAATAATGCTGGGTCGCAGTGTGGAAAGCCTCTTCGTGACGACAACAAAAAATAAAGATCTGCGTCACCGTGAACATCCACGTGGACCATGCCTGACCTCGCCTCGGCACGATGGTAACTCGGTATTTCACTCAACTGGCTGTGCAAAAGTAATTTGTGAGGCCACGGCAGCGCGGAGCGTACACTTTTTCTACTGGTCAAATCCGTCGTGTTGATCTTCCGCCGTGTTGACCTTGCCTGACCGCGGCACATCGTCGCGTGTGTGCGCCGCTGGCCTGTGAATCACAGGCACAGTGTGATAGACTTCACTGTAGTCACTACAGTCCTTAAGTTCTACGCCTGGAAGCAGACTCGTCTCGTAAGTGGTGCAAGTGTTTGCCAGCTGGAGACACAACGGAAGCAATCTCACCGAACCGCTTGCGGTCACTGACAAGTTCCATCACTTCCCAAAACTCCGTACTCGTGCACAAGCTCAGTATTTGCCGGTAGCACGCCACGGTCTCAACAAAAATAAAATGCCATCCACTAGCAACGAGGACAGCACAGTCGCGGCACTTCCGCAGCCGTGGGTTTCGCAGGTATTCCGCGTGTCGGAGACCGGAGAGGTCGGACGTAGCTCAAGCATCCAAGACATTCGCGACAAGGAGAAGGCACTGATCGGTCCCGAGAAGTCTTTGAGCACTGTCGGGTCGGATATTGACCCGTTGGGAATGTCTACAACCTCGTTCGACTTTGAGGAAGGTGACGCCGACACGTCTAGCTCATCTACAGTTCGCGACGGCAGTGTCTGCGTAGACAACGAGGTGGAAACATCGGATGACGAGACTGACGACCAGTTGCTGCGTGGAATTGCGGACGATATGATCGGTCACAGCGTGCCGTTCCAGTCGCCGTTTGGTGTCAAAGCGCAGTGCTACGCCGACTACACGGCGAGTGGTAAGTCCTTGGCAAGCATCGAGCAGTTCATGCGTAACAAAGTCATGCCTACGTATGGTAACACACACACGACGACGTCCGTCACGGGTTTGCAGACGACGGCATTCCGCGAAGAAGCCCGTCAGATTATTGCAAAGGCTGTGAATGCGCGCGAGTCAAAGGACGTGGTTCTGTTCTCTGGTCAAGGATGTACTAGTGCCATCCAGAAGTTTATTTCGGCTCTAGGAATCAACACTGCCAAGCGACTCCGGATCTCATCCAAACGTCCTGTAGTCTTCACGGGGCCATTCGCACACCACTCGAACCTGCTACCGTGGCGTGAAAGCCTAGCGGCCGACATTGTGGAGATTCCCGAGGCTAAAGGTGGCGGTCTCGACGTAAAGGAGCTAGAGCGCCAGTTGAAGAGCTACAGCAGCCGTAAGCTCAAGATCGGTACCTTTACTGCTGCTGCAAACCTCACTGGTATGCTCATGGATGTCAACGAGGTCTCGCGATTGCTACACAGACATGGCGCCTTGGCCTGCTGGGACTACGCTACCTGTGCGCCGTACGTTGATATCGATATGAACCCGAGTGACCCTCTAGCCTACAAGGACGCCATCTTCTTCTCAGGCCACAAGTTTGTCGGTGGGCCAGGATCTCCTGGTGTATTAATCGTGAAGAAAAAACTCATGAATACTGAGGTTCCGACGATGCCTGGAGGCGGCACCGTGCTGTTTGCCACCGAGAAAGCTCACAGCTACTTGAACGACATCGTAGAGCGCGAGGAAGGCGGTACGCCGGATATCTTGGGCAGCATTCGACTTGGCCTGGCGTTCGCGCTCAAGCAACGAGTCGGTACCAAGAAGATCATGGCCCAGGAACGTCGTTACGTTCAGCGCGTGCGTGAATCGGTGGGTGGGAACAAACACATTGTGTTGCTTGGTCGTCAGAACGACAAGATCGACCAGTTGCCCATCTTTTCCATGATGGTCCGCTACGGCGACCGCTTCCTTCACCACAACTTTGTGTGTGCACTATTGAACGATCTTTTTGGTGTCCAGGCTCGGGGCGGCTGCCAATGTGCCGGCCCGTTCGGAGCTCGCTTGCTCGGGGTTAGTAAGGAACACACGATCGCCCTCGGAAATGCCTTTGTGGAGAAGGATGAAGTCATCAAACCGGGTGTCGTACGCATGAGCTTCCCGTACTTTGCTGACGACGCAGAGGTCGACTACATTCTAGATTCGCTAAACTTTGTGGCGGATCACGGCTGGAAGTTCCTGCCACAGTACGAGTTTGACATTCATTCGGCTGCGTGGCATCATACGTCGCGGTCTGCGGACAATCTTCCGACCAAGAGCTGCCTATCAGAACTGCAGTTCTTCAGCGACGGCACAAACAGCACGTCAACATCCGAAACTCCTATTCACAGTATTGCAGCTCATCGTCGTGAAAATCTCGAACAGGCCGCACTGCAGGCGGATGCGTGCATGAAGGAGGCGGCTCTGCTGGATTCCTTCCCTGAGGGCCAAAAGGTGCTCAAGAGCCACGAGTGGCTGCGCTGGTTTGTCTACCCGTACGAGGCTGTAGCGGACTACAAGAAGAACGGCGACAAAGTGGCGCTCACCGACAAGATTACAGGTCCGTGCCAACCGCAACTCTACGGGGAGGACGCGATGAACCACATCTGGGACGGGATGCCGTCCATGTCCAAGCTGAAAAGGAGTTGCATGGGACGGCTGATGCTCTGTCATTACATGTCGACCCCCTGAACAATATTCAAGCCAACGGAACGAGTCTCGAAGCAAGAGACATCGAGGTAGGTTATATGGATAGAGGATGTAGTGACCCAGTCAAACGTCGCGTATCAACGGAGTGTGCTATATGTAAAACTACTGTACAGTAGTAGTATGTTAACGGTGGCGGGGTGAATGCAAGTCCCGTCGACGACACTACAGTGTACAGTACTTGGAATTTGGATGATTAGCTGTTAGGTTTAGTTACATTTCTGCTACAACGAAGTCCCAAATACTTCCTTATGTTTTCAGTTACTACAGCGTCATTCGTGTATTCAGAATAAATTAAAAATAAAAAAACTCAATGGTTTACCTTTTACCGGTTCAATGATACTGTATGTACAACATATCTCATAATACCAGTCTCCACTTTTGCAGTAAAATTAAATTTACTAAAAAAGGTAGACTCTCCTAGGTTTCTTGGAACGGAAGCTACCGTCTTCCCCCGCACACTACGCCTAGGCGTTATGCGACGAAAATAATATGAATGTTTGAACAAATCAATCAGGGTCTACTTTGTTTAATAAAGTGGTGTAGGTTTGACCCTCCTATGCTACTGACCGAGGTTCGAGCCCGCCTTCGTGCACTTCACAACATAAATGTGTGTATAGTAAGGGTCAGTTGTTTTCTTTCATTTGGGGACTGCATTAAAAATACGAAGGTTTTATTATTTTATGACGAAAATATTTGCACAAAACATATCTTTTTTCTTTAAATTTTTTTACCATACAAAAGATTAAACAGCACCCATCCACCTCAACTGCGAAGTACGATCCGCTACGAGCTAAATGCACCGTCTTCATCGGGTTCTCTACTTCGTAAGTAAATGTTGAGACCACCTTGCAGTCCTTGTCTACTGTAGTCACCTCAACGTTCCAGTTGTGAAGTTTTGAAGCGGCATAAATCTCCAACTCTCCTGGATCTGTGTCTCCGTTTTGAATATCCTCCAGATACTGCGCGTCAATGAGACCGTCGAGATCGTCCAGGGTTTTCATGTAGTTCACCAGCTCGTAAACAAAGTCGTCTATAGCAGTTGATATGCCAAAGAGTAAACAGTAGAACAAGCTTGGCCTCTCGTTCTCGGTCAGGTACCAGGAAGGAGCGGATATGCAGAGCTGCTCTCGATCATCCGCTTCATCAAGGAGATATTGATACGATGCGTGCCATTTCTAAAGAATTGGGTCTCAGTCCTTGAACACACCACCGCTCTAGAGAAGCGCAGCCGGATATCTTCGTTCCACATGCCAGTACTATTCACATCTACCAGAACACCATCAGGGCACTTCGGACGATTCTTTAGTTTTGAAAAGAGAAGGTGGGGCTTCAGGATGATTCCAGAGGCTGTAATCGCAAACGTAGCAGTGAAGCGCTTATGACTTGTCCCTCCCTGTTTTAGAAGTACCTCACGGGATCCACGAGTCGTGATGGTCGTCTTAGGCTCGTTTTCAAAGTACCTTGGTACTTGGTCAATGTTAACGATGTTGTCAAGCTTGATATTGTGCATATCGATGAGTTGGTGAACACGATGAATGAAATCACGGCAAATCTCTCCAGCATTATCAGGCTGTAATGGGCCCCTCCATTACATATGTAGGTAGATTTCTTTACAAAAGTAGCTGCATCAGCACACGACTAGCGTGTGCTGAAATGCTGTCATGCCATTGGCTGATATATGAAGAGCCAGACCCATTATTGGCCAATTGGACTATGACGTGTATTTGAGTGGCCAGGGCTGTGGCCTTGGTCCTAAAATAAAGTCAGAGTTGATTTTTCCTTAAACCTAAGACTCAGTCGTCCTATTGCGAGCTTCCTCAACACTATAGTGTAAGCAAGTAACGGAGTAAATACCTGGCCCGTTACACAGGCAGTATTCGTGTAGTCGTCTGACGCCGAGAGACGAGGTTCTTCCGACGTTTAAATCGCGCCAACCAACCAGTAGACGCATCAAAGCCCGATGCCTGAGGACCATGTAGCTCTTGGTAGATGTTCAGAGCTTGCAGCCGGATGTAAGCGTCCTTGACCCGCAGTCCTCTAGTATTTCTGTCTAAAATCCACTCATGTAGACGACATTCTACATCACCGTGCTTGGCAGGTCTTCCTCCCCCACCTAGCCTTCTTGCTGTACGCGTGGTAATATCACGGTCTCTCAGAGCTTCCTTTAGTTTGTCGCGGAGATCCCACCAACCTCGAATTGTTCCTGGAGCTATTTGGTGTTTTTTTCCCTAGAGCAAAGAAGCCTTTTCCTTTGACGCCTTTGGCGTGTTGGGACAGGATATCCAGCTTCTCTTTGATAGTATAGTTTCGGCGCTTGCTTTTCACCATGGCAACTTGGGAATGAGCAACCGACAAGAGGAACGAGAGAAGTTGTGGTCAAACACTGACAGCCAACCACCTCCTATTACAGCTATAATTACACATATTACTGCTATATGTAGTAGGCGTTGTATTTTGCTATGTGTTCTATACGAATATTTTATCGCGAAAGTTATTATTCCATTATTTTATTAAAGCGCCTAGGCGTAGTGTGCGGGGGAAGACGGTAGCTTTAGCCTGGTATCATACACTTATTAATAGTTACAAGTGTTGTTGTTTAAAAACAACAATTCAAGCGCGATATCGGTACCGTATTATGTTTACAAGTACAGCAAATCCCCGTTGCTCAGGCATTGAGAAGTGATCTGCTCCTAACAAATGTAAGTGTCGACATCTGAATGGTCAACGCTAACTTCTCCGTCAAAGTGACTCCCAAGTGGGTAATTATCGCAACTGACCGTAAATACATCAAACTTTTCCAAACTGACCGTAAAACTTACACCAGCCGGCGTTTGTACATGAAGTAAAGAGACATCCCAGTATAAAAGATACGATGTACAACTGGGACGCGGTGAAGAACAAGTATCCAAAAGAAAAAGACTGCTTCAGTGCCAGATCGGATCTATTGGTAGCAAGAAGAGTACACAGAGACCACGAAATTTCTGCAGACGGGTATGTGCAGACTGAGTATCTCACTTACTCTTGCGTGTGTGTTGTGGACTAAAGACAACTGTCGTTGCTGGTTTTGCAGGATTAATATTGTAAACGGCGAGACGGCTCTCAGAAAGAAATTAAGACGTACGTAAGAAGCAGGTGAGTCAGCGTCACAGGAATGAATAGCTGACTTTGTGCTCGCAGCAACCAAGCCGTACGTGAGGAGAAAGTGAGCCAACTTCACAGGAATATCAGGCTTTGGGGGAGCAGGACCGTCGTACAGGTACGTGGACGAGTGTTTCTCTAGCAGTGAGTGTGTAATCTCAAAATTTATTTTGTTTGTGTCAACTATGTTACGTAGATACAAGCGTCTGAGGAATTTTTGCGTCTTTAGGGGATCTACTGCTACCTGAACATCCTTGCTTGATCCGCATGTGGGGGGTGAGTGGTGTGGTAATAAAGCCCATTGACTTATTCTCGTTGAAAGCGTAAGCACGAAGAAACGCTGTACTGTCAGACGCTGATAGAAATACATCCCTAAATGTAACTGACTGCCTCCCGTACTTGGACTGAAGGTTAACCTTGCCTGGTTCCATGATAGTTGTAGAGTGAGCGACTATGTAATGGAGCGGTACATGTGGAGTCGTCCTCGCTTCTGACCCAAGGATATTTTTTTACTAGTGAACTTCAACAAATGTAACCAATCAAATAGCATTTATAGACATGTGTATGTTTTACGGTCAGTTTGGAAAAGTTTGATGTATTTACGGTCAGTTGCGATAATTATCCCTCCCAAGTACTAGAATGTCTTTGTCACGTTTATTTATACCGGGATATAAGTCATGTAAAGACGTTGGTTTATTAATGATAGCCCTCTTTTTTAAAATCGTTCTCGGCGGCAACCCGCCCGTGTTGAATGTCGATCGACAATGTGCTGGTCGCGTTTGGTGTGTCAAAAGCACTGTTGTTGCAGTTGGGGTCAGGCATGTCGAGCTCTTCAAGATCCTGTAAGGCATGGCAGTGCCATTGAAGTCGCCAGTGATTGGCGTGGCATTCGGGCGTACTACGTTGGCGTTGTCGATTAATTCAGACTTTAAGAACCCGAGGAAATCACGATTCGCGAATCGAGCCGCGATATGTACCTCCGAAAAGGATATGCTGCCAGCGCGTCGCTGACACACGTACATGAAAATACATGTACTGACAACCACAACGCCTCGGTGTTCGAGGGCTCGACATTCGTATCATCCCCTCGCAAGATTTTGGTGCAGCAATGTTCAATACATGTACAAAGTACTTCGAAGTAAAAATGTTCATGTGCAAAAGTACTTGAACCTTGGCGACCTAAATCTTGCAAGGGGGCGATACGAATGTCGAAGTACGGAGTAAACTCTGTAGAGTCGGATGCACTGGTCGACATTACAGCGTATTCGGGTGTGGATTGACACGGGATTTTCGCGGCTCTGGTGAATCGAAGATTTTTTAATGCCCGCTCGAGCCGTCGAATCCTATTGGGATTGCAGGCTGCAATTTGCAGCAGCCAGGTACGCCGCGTCGTACAGCGGGCCCACGTTGTCTGTACATGTATAGGACATCGACAATGTCGATTCAACATTCATGTACAGTGGGGCTCCAACTGGTCCAGTTACTGAGGGCCTCTGTAAGTGGGATGGCCGCGATATCTGAACTCGACTCGAATGCCGTCACATAATAAATTGTACAGATATCTCGCCGTGCGCCCGCTCGCTGCAAAGTGTGCATTGCAGACAGCGCCAATTAGGCCAGCTCATACTGTATCCACCATTGGTGGTGGCCCACTGCACCAAAGAGAGTAGGAACAAGGGAACCATGATGACTTCCCTTCGTCCGATGGCGGACCGCCATTGGCGGGCGACGCGCAAGCTTCTCATGCATATACATGTACCAGTACATGCAGTGCATCTGGCGTAGGGGCCCTGCTCGTTGCCTCGTCGCTGCGGGAGGGCCGCGGCAATTAAAGATCAGGTCAAGCCTGGCTCCGAGTTGGAAGTCGCCGTTGGGGTTTGTAATTTAGAGGCCAAAAACGTGATCTCTTTAAAGGGTCTCAACGAAACACCATGGTATTCATGCCACATATTTTTCTGATAATATTTAATATACCGTAAATGGTGGAACTCAGCGCCACGCCGTTGCCGATCCATGTCCAAATCTTCAGATGGAGGCAGTACCCATTGGTACGGGGATCAGTTAAATCTGATGGTGGGCTGTGTCATCGAGTCAAGTTTTGTTTGGGGTTTGTTCTCGTCATGAAACAGGATAAAGAAATGATTATCGCAAACGGACGAGGCTCTTCTGGACAAATCGGCAACAAGTATCTCTCAAGGTGCGTTTTATGTGGGGCGCCGTCAAACGTGACTCGACTGGCGCCGCGCCGAGCTTTTTTTGCAGCATTTGCGGCGTTTACACCGTCGTCCAGCTGGGATTTGGACAGCAGCGGCAATGCCGCTGCTTGACAAGCACGCCATGCCGCCGGCATGTCGTGCTTGAATCCCGATTTCCCCGGACCTCAACAATCAGAAAGCGGACATGTTTTCCTAACCGAGATGCCTGACCTCTGCAGACACCCGCTGAAAAACACTTGGTGGGTCGAACTTGTCACTTCCGAAATTCACTCCAACCATAAAGGTGTTTAGCGGTTGGCGATCTCCTGAGTGAGTGCACGCTCGCTTCGTCTGTCCTGAGTATCCATGTTGCGCCACAGTATTGACGAGAGCTCGCTGCCGCGTCGCAGCCTGCTAGCTGTCATGCCACCGGCTAAGGAAGGCAATGAGGACAAGGACTTGCTGTCACCCAGCTCAATCAACCCGCTGGCACAGACAGACACGTCTTCCATTGATCTGGAGGCCGAACGCATCGATCGACAGAAGAAGAAAATCGAAGACGACGATGACAAACGCGACACCGAGTCGGAGACCTCCTCCAGCTCCAACAGCGTGACCGACGGTCTCACGACCGACATTGACACGGAGATCGCTCTTGGTGTCATGAAGGAGGCCGACCGTCGCATGACTACGCGCACTTCCGTCGCCACTGACATCTCCTCGGTTGAGGATGACAACGACGTTCAAGTCGAGGAAGAGCAGGAGCTTGATGTGCAGTTGCTGCATGATATTGCCGAAAACATGATCGGACGTAACATCCCATTCGTGACGCCGTTTGGCACCAAGGCCCAGTGTTACGCCGACTACACAGCCAGTGGCAAGGCCATCGAGAGCATCGAGACTTTTATCCGCAACGAGGTGATGCCTACGTACGGCAACACGCACACCACCACGTCGGTCACGGGTCTCCAGACCACCTCGTTCCGTGAAGAGGCTCGCCAGATTATTGGTAAGGCTGTAAACGCTCGTCTCCATGGCACCGGGGCTCGTGACATCGTCGTGTTCACCGGTCAAGGTTGCACTAGTGCAATTAACAAATTCATTACTGCTCTTGGTCTTAAAACGATGCGACGCCATCATCGTCCGAACAAGCGCCCGGTCGTCTTCACATGCCCCTTCTCGCACCACTCCAACTTGTTGCCGTGGCGTGAGCTGTACGCGGTTGACGTGGTTGAGATTCCCGAGGCCAAGAGCGGCGGCCTCGACTTGAAGGAGCTGGAGCGTCAACTTCAAAGCTTCAAGAACCGTGACCTCAAGATCGGTACATTCGCCGCTGCTTCTAATCTTACAGGCATGCTGGCCGACGTCGACAAGGTGTCCAAGCTACTACACAAGTACGGCGCGTTGTCGTGCTGGGACTACGCGACCTGCGCCCCCTACGTCGACATGGACATGAACCCCAAAGACCCCGCCGCATACAAGGACGCAGTGTTCTTCTCTGGTCACAAGTTCGTGGGTGGACCTGGCTCCCCGGGTGTCTTGGTAGTGAAGAAAAACTTGATGAGCAACGAGGTGCCCACCATGCCTGGTGGCGGCACCGTGCTGTTCGTTACTGAAAAAGCCCACAGCTACCTTGCTAACAAGGTAGAACGCGAGGAGGGCGGTACCCCTGACATTGTGGGAAGTATCCGTCTTGGCCTTGCTTTCGAGCTCAAGCAACGTGTCGGTCCCAAGAACATCATGGACCTGGAACGCCAGCACGTACATCACGTCCGTGAGGTGCTCGGCAAGAACGAGAACATCATTCTGCTCGGCCACGACAATGTGGACCAGCTGCCGGTCTTCTCGTTCCTCGTTCGCTTCGGCGACCGCTTCCTGCACCACAACTTTGTGTGCGCTCTACTGAACGACCTGTTCGGTATCCAAGCCCGCGGTGGCTGTCAGTGTGCCGGGCCGTTCGGTGCTCGTTTGCTTGGTCTCAGCCGTGAGCATATCACTGATCTGGGCTACGCTGTTGTGGCCAAGGACGAGGTGCTGAAGCCAGGTGTCGCCCGGATGAGCTTCCCGTACTTTGCCGACGAAGAGGAGGTCGAGTACATTCTCGACGCCGTAAAGTTCGTTGCCGATCACGGCTGGAAATTCCTGCCCAAGTACGAGTATGACCCTCACAACGGAGCGTGGCGTCACGTTTCGCGTGCCACCGCCCCCTTTCCGGCTAAGAAATTTTTAGCCAGCATGCAGCTCGACGATCTGGACACCGTGCGCCAGTCTGTGTGTACGGCGCCTATTTGCAGCATTGCTGATCACCGCCGTGAGAACTTGGAACAGGCTGTGGCTCTGGCGGACGCCTGCATTGAGGAGGCCGTGTCACTCGAGGAGTTCCCTGAGGGCCAAAGGCTGGTCCCTGCCCACGAGTGGCTACGCTGGTTCGTGTACCCGCACGAGGCCGTGGCCACGTTCAAGGAAACGGGCAAGAAGATGGCGCTTACGGAAAGTATCGAGGGCCCGTGCCAACCACAGCGTTACCTGGACGGCTCGGTCCACAATATATGGGAGGGCGTGCCGTCCTTAGGAACGATGAAGAGGAGTCTGATGGGACGGTTTGTGCTCAAGATGTTCATGCAGACCGAGTTGGAAGCCATGAAGGACAAGAGGACAGACGCGGAGAAGAGCGTGCTGAACGATGAGGAAGTGATGTGTGCCGTTTTCGGCGGCTCACAAAAGTGTCAGTAAACGAAGACGTAGACTACATGTACAGAGGAGAAGGGGGCAATCGGGTCGCTCGAGCGGAACGCGTGGCAACGCGTAGTAGTTTCTTGTTTTTAGTAGTAAGCTTTCAGCGTATCATGAAATGAAGCTCACTCATATTAGAGCCTACTTTAAGCGAGTACTTCTTGAGCATAATTGTGTTGCTGTTGTTGGCCCAAGAAGTTCTTGAAGAACAAGCTGAGCCCACCAAGAATATTAGAACATTAGCACAACATTTTACATTATGCAGCTACACAGTTCAACCAGCAGGTTCAAAACAGTGTTTATTGGGGCAAAGCCCCCCTATAATGAAACGAATTAGTAAGACAACTACTCTTTTTACAGGAGTATTTACGAAGTATTAGAAAAGGGTTAGGGTAGACATTTATAATCAAACCGCCTACCGTCTTACCCCGCATATAAGGCATATGTGCTGTAAATGAATACAACACTGCTGGTGTGTTATATTCGTTTAGAAAGCCTATGTGTTGTACAACGAACAAATTGTTTGACCAAGTTTGTGGGTCCTGGAATCTGGCTTGGTCGTTGAGGTTTGACCCTCCTACGCGATCGGGTAGGGCTCAAACCCGCCTGCGTGTAGTTCACATGATGTTGTGATTGGTAGCGGGTCTTTTCTTTCTGTTGTGGCTGCGTTGTATACCGGTACGGAGGTTTTGCTTGTTAATATTATGAATTCTACTATTGTTTTTTTATAAGAATCGTTTGCACAAATGCATTACATGAAATCACGTGTATTATATTATGTATCCACCTACTTTCACTGCGAAATATGATCCGGAGCAACCAAGCACAGCGTTTTCAGAGGATTTTCAACCGTTTACCAGAATTTGGACACCAGCTTGTTGTCCTTTTCAGCAGTACGTACCTATAGCTACGTCGCTCAGCACTCATGGCTGTGTAAATTATAAAATAAGAGAGCTAAAGCCAAGTACAGCAGCACCGACAAGTTTGTTCAAAAGGGTGGTTGGTTGGGAGCTCTCAAAGAATATTCATTGGTTGGTACAGCCTTGTGTTTTAAGTAGGTTTCAGCCACATGTGTTCTAATTAAGTAGGTGGTCAAATTGAGGTTTAAGCTAGATGTCGAGCGAATCCCGTATTTTATTTAGAACACATATGCCTTATATGCGGGGTAAGACGGTAGGGACCATTTTTGGCGAAAAATACTTGTGTATAAGAACCCTTGAAAGGGAGTGACGGGGAAGAAAAATAGAAAAGCGCGGTAGTGACCTCTTTTGTAGTATTAACAGTCACTAAAAAGAGGAGTCATTTTTATGCTCTGTATGAAGAGTCGCTTTGTATCAGGCGCCAAAGGATTGCGCTGTTCAAGGAAGTTTTAGGAACGTTTTACGCTCACGGCCTTACGGCGCGTACCCATGCGAACCGTTACGCTGGTAACGATTAACGTCGAGGGACAGTCCTATTTAGTCATTAAGGGCATCAAAACTGATATATTGGAAGGGATACAGAGCCGTAAGAACTCTGTAAAAAGTCATGGCTACACGTTCAGAATGCACTGTTTTTCTGTACTGAAATAGGATAGAGGCGTGGGAGCGTGGTTCTAAGCAGCGATTCGTGTTCGCTCTGCGCTATCGAAGCCGCTAAGGTTGCTCTGGAGGTCGCCCGCGAGTCTCAAAACGATCGCCTTCGCACGGACATGGGTCGAGAAGCGAGGATGGGGGAATGGAGGCGGTGCTGAGCGGCCAGAGATCGTTAGCGCGTGGACTTGACCCCCGTATTTTCCAGCTGCTGTTTGAAGATGAAGTCGATCTGCACGCTACACGTACAAGCAATGGCGATTCTGCTCTCCATGTTGCGCTTCGGCGACGCAATCAAACTGCAGCGGTTCTTTTCGTTCGTGCTGGCCTAAGTTTAACAGCAGTCAATCTGCTCGGTCAACGTGCGATCGACTGCGCACGTTCGCCAGCACTACGCTTCGCTGCGAAGAAAGGAGGCAGGTCAGCGCGACTTTATGATCAGCTACAGTCATGCTCACGCACCCGTTAGCACGGAAGATTCGAGACTCGTTAGAGCGCCACCGAGTGACAACTTGGATCGACACTATGGGACCTGCTGGGATCACTGATGGCTCCGTCTGGCGTCAAGAGATTGCTCGCGGGATCCATAGCAGTGCTCTTGTATTAGCTGTACTCACGAAAGACTACCCACAGTCACAATAGTGCATGAAAGAACTCGCTTTTGCCAAAATGCAGACATTTCTGTCGTGGCTATACAATGCGAGGATATGGAAATATCTGAAGAGCTACAAGTTTACCTGTGGACCCGCCAAGTGATTGACTTTCGATCGGCAGTTAAGCACAATAACGGTGTAAGTTCTACAGGAGATGATGCTGATCTGCAGCGGATGGCGAGGAATAGCTCATATACAGTTGACACTGACTCACATGAGGGGGGAGTGTACAGTGAAGATGATACTACGAACGTGGTGGTCAATATGGTGGGCAAGCGCGTCTTAAGCAACCTCGAGTTAGTTCCGAACTACAATGACGAGGCCTTTTGCCACTGCTTAAGGATGCTACTGGACGGTATTCAAGATCAAATCGAGGAGCATCGTGCACGACTAGCTCGGCGCCAGTTGCAGCAGCAGCAACAAGCACAACTTCCTGGTCATGAGACTGATGCTACTGTTAGCGGAGACGCGTCACGCCATGTAAGCCGTCGCAACGAGAGTGAGTGTTATCCGGAGGAAGAAGACAGAGCATTGTGTGGAATGTCTACGGATCATGATAAGCAAAGCGAGTGTGAAGAAATCGACACGTCGAATGCAGCGATCAGCTTCCCAGAGGGCCACTGAACGTGCCACTTATTCGGCCATTACGACGGATTGACTCATTGGCTTCGTCTTTCGCGCTCACATCCGGTACAGACTCTTTCGTCTTTATTGCGCATGGTGATATCCACCGCTCATTGTGTCTACGCCTCCAGAAATCGTTGCTCAAGCAGGGAATACGCTGTGTTGTGGATCAAACAGTTCATGCGGTACAATATGCGCATCGGCCGCAAGATACTGTGAACAGCGATGTTCAAAGCGGCGGCTTCGGCGCAGATTTGAGCTGCATTGAGCAACCAGTGGCTCCTTTATCTGTTCAAACGCGGCAATTGGCTGCAAAAGATGCCATTCTCGCCTGCTCTGTCGTCTTAGTGGTGTTGTCTCCGCTGTCTGCAAATTGCGACCTTCTTGCTGATCAATTGGCTTTCGCAGAGGACCGTGGGAAGTTGCTGGTGCCTATTCTCCTATCGCTACACAAAGTGGATCTGGCCAAGCGCTACGCCTTTTCACGCAGTATGGTGCACCACTTTAATATCTCTCTGGGCTTCGAGCAGAGCCTGGAACAACTTACCAACTATTTAAGAGTACTCCCTCAATTACCCACCGTTTGCTGGGCTCTCTAGTCGATATGAATAAAATATGACATGCAAAAGTAATACTGCTGTGAACAGTTTCCTTACTGGGGTTGAAGTTGGCTTATTTAACTTTCGGATTTGCGTCTGTCACTTTTGATTTTGCTGTATCAAGTCACAATGGATTTTTATTTCTTGGATTCCATTCGCGGGGCCGTTTTGAAACAAATGGAAGAGGAAGCTGTCAACATGTTTTCAAGCGTAAGAGACTTTCGTGAATTCATCACAATGACACACCCTGCAGTTGATATCTGCGTGACACTGAGAATGTGTTGCCTTCACGTGGAGCGTCTTGAAGGTACTAACGCTACTCGTGTAGTCTTGGTCGACGGAAGGAGATGTGTGGAAGTCAACACAGCCTTGAAGGCAGTTGATGATTGTATAGGCTATCAAGACAAACGCGATGTGGTGCAGGTGACTGTTTGGGATTCAAAGATGTCGAACGCTTTCGCTGGCGATTCAAACATTGTGTTTCACGTTGGAGCTATGTACGTTCTTAATCAAGTCGAGTATGTCGGATTGTACGATGGCATCGCGAAGGGCAGTATTCAGTACGAGTATGGCAACTTGGATAAGATCAGAGAGATTGCGCCTCCCCTCAAAAAGCGCACGTCTTGGTGAGGGTCATACAGCAGCTACAAGAATCAATTTGACCGACAGCAACAGCGTGATGGCGTTAATGATAAAGACTCGGGGAAACGATCAGACCATGTTGCTGGTGCATCAGCAATTACTATATGGTATTCTTCTTTTCAGTTAAAGGATAATATAACAGAGTTGTTGCAACGAAATACTATGAATTTAATTAATACTAATTGGAGCTACTGTAGACATGAGTGTGGGAGGAAGTAAGCACAGTTGTAGCATGAAATTGTAGATATGGAATTTATGAAGTAGATCAAAATTAAAAAAAATATATAACTATATAATCGTGCAGGATTTGGAGGCTAATGACTTCTTCGGATACGTTCGTTGGTAAATCAGCTAATGGATATGTTGAAGTTGCAGTAGCGGAATCAATGGCTAAATGAAGTCGTATCGCATCTCTTGGATACGTTGATGGTTCAATAACTAGAATGCGCGCAGGGTTTGAAGGCTAATGAGTAGGAATTAAACTCAATTTTACTATAAAAATGTAGGAAGGCATCGTACTAACAAACTAGATAGATTAGGGGCGTCAAAATAAATGTAAACGGTGTAAAATTGGCAAATAGACACAATGTACCAGGTTTGGAGCTGGAAACCATTACGTGGATCAAGTGAAGGTGACTGTATATCTAGAAACGTTGGTGAGGATGCGTGCGGTGTGGCACGACGGTGCTGTCGGTTGAAGTTTGGCTGGTAGATCTAGAAGGAGTCGCAAAATGTAATATGGACTCATAATTAATGCCCCAACTTCAAATTCATTAATAATGCAGTGATCTCGTATGTATGGTATCTGTGCTAGGCAATGACGATGGACATCGAGTACTGGGCAGTGTCATGCAAGTGGGCTACACAAATAAAGTCTAAGATAATGGAAGAAGCGGTTGTGATAGTGATGG